ACACACACACACACACACACACCATGTCTCAGAGTCACTAAATTTCTTTAAACTTTTATACATTGAGAGGGGGTGGGGGAGCCATGTAAAAGACAAGAACATGTACCCACAGATTTTAGGTAAAGGCAGGATAAAAAAATAAATTATCACCTTCATAAACCAAAAATACAATATTCATATTTGCTCTCTCTCTCTCTCTCTCTCTCTCTTTCCAGCTCCTGGGGTTAAGTTCCTGTGGCTGTCCAGCAGGGGGCAGTGCTGCATCAAGCCCAGCCTCAGGTACCAGTTGGAGAGACATAAATGGACAAATACAATTGGCTATCGGTAGCCCAATCAGAGGGAATAAATATATATATATATATATTTAATATTATTTTTGAGACAGAGCTGGGTGATAATTCAGTGTTTTCATCTATAAAAATATTTTTTATAGAATAAAAGCTTCAAAAATAAAAGTTGAAAAAAAAAGAGCTCAATGAACATGAATTTAATACTTCTGTGTGATTTTGCCTGTTTTCTGTGTTATGAAATACAGAAGGGTGACAAATTAAAGGACAACCTCACCAAATCTCACTCACCAGATCTTGTAGGTGTGCATATTTTTCCTTTTATCTGTCACTCATCTGTGTATAATATATGCTGAATATGGTTATTGAGCCACATCACCCAGCCCTAACTTAAAGAATTAGGCTGTTGTTATTCTTTATTTTTCATTATTGTCAACAAATTAGCGAGATTTGTGAAGTTTCTCTTTTTAGAGCAACCAAGCCCATGAGCATTAGTTTTTTATTTTGCTTTAGCATGTTCAGGCCATCTTAAGTGTTATGTGTTATGAGTAGAAGTCCAAGTCTTGACCCCTTACACACAAGACTTGACCCTGTGGGGACATCATTTTAGGCAATCAAAAGGTCATAGGTTCGTATTTAAAACATCAATGAAAAGTTCTTAAAATAAGGAATCAGCAACCCCATCATCTGAGGAAGCTCAAGAATAGCCACTAAACTACTACTATTCCCACATTTACTATGTTTTTAAGGGGAAGCGTGCAGACACTTGAGTTTCTTCTAAATGTTATTAATGGTGTAACTGGTGTAAACAGCGCTCTTGCTGGGGACGACTCATTTCTAGCTGTAGCTGCAAGGGTGTCAAACATGCAGCCCAGAGGCCAGAACAAGCCCGCCAGAAGGCGCAATCTACCCCGATTTTACTGTTTTTCCATTGAAACGATAAATAAATCATCTACTCCTGGAGTTCTGATGACATGATGTCTGGAAAGTGAAAAATATGTTGTTGTTTTGTTTACAAAAAAATAAAATCTCTAAAACTTTTTTGTGTAAAGAAATCAAATTTTAAAACCAAAAATCACTAAAACATCTCATCGGTTGTCAGAATTGACTTCTTTTGCACTTAAAAAAAAAGGGGGGGGGGGCTGCAGAAGTGTCTTAGATGTATGGTCTAAACAGTCTGGCCCCAGTTGAGATCAAACTGGCCATTTTGTGACCCATGAACTAAAATGAGTTTGACACACCTGCTGTTGTGAGTATCTACAGGATAAGGAAGGTGTGTCTCAGTGTTTTGGGTATTTTTTTCATGACATTTGTTGACAATAATAAATTAAGAATACAGATCTGAAGCACCCTTTCAGACACTCACAGACAGAGCGAAAGTCCTGTATGTGACTTTCTTAGCGCTCAACAGAATAACTTAAACAGCTCTGACATGTAGAGGTCTCAGTTTATATAATGTAGTAAGGTTAAAGAGGGCCAGGAACAGCTTTCTCAGCAGTGCTCACAGATGCACAGAGACGCTGCTCTTATGGAAGACGGCAGTTCAAAGTGCGATTACACTGCTCACAATACTGGGTTTTTCTATGATGCAGTAAACATTGTGTTGTACTTTTAGCTCTCGCCATCATTCTAGTGGGAGTGTTGTAAAGAAACCGTGAGGAACACTCATGTTAAAGCGACACGTGTCTGAAAGGGGCTCAAGCATCACCAACACCAGATTTGGAAAAGTGACACTTATGCTTCCAATAACCCCGAGGATGATTTCACAGGACACCGACTACTCGTGTTTTTCCTGATTCAATCTCCAAAAAAACAAAAACGAAACAAAAAAATAATACAAAAACAAAACAAAAATTAAAAGAAAAACAAAAAAATGGCCATACAACATTTTGAAATGCATCTATGCTCTCTCCCTGAAGCCTACTTCTATGTCTCTTTTATTTGGGGGGGGAGTTTGCCATCTATTGCTTTCACAGATTCTTGGGTGTTTTTCTGAGCATGAGTTCTGTTCACCTGTCTAGATTTGGTTTCTGTAGAGAAAGAGTGAGGACAAAAAGGTGATGGGAGGTCAGGGAGTGAGGGAAAAAATGTGTTCAGTGGGAGGTCTGTGGGATTCAGCTGATTGACCAATCAGACAGGACGCTGTGTCCTGGGACGCTGTCAAACAGCTCCAAAGACAACTGTTCCCAGGATGTGTGTCTGTGAGCGTGTGTGTCCCTCTATCTTTGTGAGGACATCCTTCACATTTTGTTATGGTTAAAGAGCAACTTTGGTTTATTATTTCACTGTGCAGAACGTGTGAGAAGGCAGTTTCAAAACTGAAAGGAGGAAAGAGGAACGTTTCTCGTGTTCAGGGGTGTCAAACATCTGTTCCGCACAGAGGATGGACTGCCGTTTAGCTCCAAAATCCTCTACATATGAAGGTTGTGTGTTTAAAAAAATACTGTTAAACTGTAATGCAAATGTAATGTCAAGAAAGACGAAAAACTGATACACACTGTTTAAATTGGACTTATTGTTTAGCTGTAAATGCACGCTTTGAAAAATGTGAGATCAAACTGGGTTGTGCGAACTAAAATGAGTTTGACGCCCCTGCTCTAGTTTCCAGATTTGTACCAAAGGACAATAAGTACTCCGCTCTGATCTGGTTTTACCTGTTGCCCCTTTTTTGTTTTTCAAACTAGTTCACTTACAGATTTTAGGCGAACACAGAGAAACCGTCCTCTTCCAACTATGCACACTCATCATTCTGAAAGTGATGGTAAAATAAACAAAGCTCTATTCAGACTGGACTGTTCTGTAATTTGAATCTTTCCCAGAAAGACGTTCCTGTATTTTAAAGTGGATCTCATCCACAACTTCATTCCTTTTAACTTATTTTTAGCCTCCTGAATGACTGAAATGAGAGACATGTTCCTGCTGACAGAAACTTGTGAATGTCTTAAATCTGTCCATCAGGAGAAAGCTCAGGAGGTGCTCCACCACATCCTGTAATTTCAGAATGATTAAAATGGTGCCCAGAAAGACAAAAGTTACTTTAAAGATGAGCATGGCGACTACAGGGTTGTCATTTAGCTGTGGTTACGTTCAGGGAATGCATTATGTCAAAGGTCCTCACAAGAATAGAAGCACAAGCTGTGAGTGTATCTGTTGGTTCTCCGTATCATCTTTAATTGGCAGCCATTTTGGCTCCAATGTCCCACTTCCCTGCAGTTGCACGGCAATGTCCTGGAGAATCATGTTCCATATTTACAGCCGATTGTTGCTGGAAACACGGCTAGACAAACTGCACTGACAGCACAACCTGAACTATCTCACAACCAGCTGTGTGTGTGCGTATATGTGTGTGTGTGCGTGCGTGCGTGTCTGTCTATGTGTGTGTGTCTATCTTTGTGAGGACCAGTTATACTTTGGGTGTGAGGCTGGTCCGCACTGTGAGACAAACCTTCTCAGGTCCTCACAAAGATACAGAAGTGAGTGATGGAGCTACAGGTTGTCGTCCCGCAGGCTTTCCAGGATCTGGACAAGGCTCTCCAGTCCAAACATGTAGCCCCTGTCTGGCCCATCATGTACGGCTGTGTCGCCGCGGAAACCCTTGAAGGTGGAGTGGGCGAAGTCGATCATGCGAACGTCCACCAAGGGGGGCTGCTGGGGCAGGGGAGCGGGAGAGGGGAAGGAACCTAAACTGGGAGCCGAGGAGGTGGATTCTGGATGAGGCGATGGGGGGCGTGGGAGGAAGGAGTGGCAGTCTGACTTAGGGGGCGGGGCTTGTGTGGGAGGATGAGGGGAAGGTGATGGGGAGGCCGGAGCCATCAGTCCAGACCCCTGAGAGGGCAGGGATCCTGTGTCTGGCTTCTGGCTCATGTCCGTTTCACAGGGTGCATCGGGGGCCGGGCCACAGTGGGACTCTGCGGGTGACACTGAGGTCTTCGGTTGCCAGACAGAGGGGCTCTCGGGTTCCTACAGACGAAAAAAAAAAATCAGGTCAAACAGAGGGAATCAGAACACTTCCAAAATCAAAAAAAATTTAGAAGTATAAAAATAGTTATTTCAACATCAGGCGCACCTTTCCCTCATAGATGATGAGCAGCGAGGAAGAGTAGAAGCGATAGGATGCCTGCCTCTCCAGCACCGCTTTCAGGGTGCGAAGCTTATCCAGGATTGGCTCAAAGAGGTCCCGCCTCAAGCCCTTTCCGTTGTGCAGGTACTGGTAGAGGGCCTGGCGGAAGCCTTCGATCGACAGGCCGCGGCCGTAGTACTTGTTCCTGCACAGGTAGTGACCGGTGTTCAGCTGGTACACCTGCAGGGACAGGTGGGCAACAGCTCAGTACAACGTGAGTCTGGATTAGATATTAACAGATGTTCCCTCTGATTCAATTTAATCATTATAGCTGGAAAAATATGCATACAACCATTTATAATGTTTATTTACATATTTATTCCTTTCCCTCTAAATATTTCCACTAATTCGTGAAATTGTTAATATCATGATTATTATTAGTAGGACAATGAGAACTAGTGCTCTTTGTTGTCCTAATAACAGCAGACACGTGAGCTTATCTTGCAGAGGTGGTAGCAGATTGCAATGATATTGCACCCGCTTCTCCTGCAGCATTCGGTTTGTTGCGGGATCAAACAATAAACTAGTGTGTGTTTATCTTTTTGTTCAGGCCCCTGATGGACCACTGTTCTCATGTGTTCAGCGGTGCAAGTCGTCCTTTGTACCTGCATGCCACATACTCTGACTCCCAGCGTCGCTGAGGTGCTTTGTTCGCATTTCCTTATCTGCCTGGCTGCCTTCTCCTCCGAGGCGTCATCTCCGTGCTGCCGGGTGCCCATCTTCAGGTCCAGGATGCAGGGGTAAGAGAAGTGGTGCACCACGTTCTCTAACAACAGGAACTCTGGTTAAAAAGCTGCAGTTAAGGAGCCAACTGTCCTTGACCTCCACCCTTTTTTATGTTTGATCTCTTGTGCAAAAAGATCAAACAACTACTAAATCTAAAAAAACCTAAATGTATGCAAACAAAACACTGTGCACAAACTCAACTGAAAGTTAACGTCAGTGGGATATGACTGACATTAAGAACCCACCCAGGAAGGGAGAGATTTCCTCTCCTTTCAATCTTGATTTTTCTTCTCCCCAACAGCGCCATTAATGATTAAAACTAAAACAAAGGCCTTCTGAAAACCTCACTCTTAACAAAAGAAAAGCCTGTCACACTCAAAGATGACAGGCCTGGGCGCTGATTATTTTGGTTATGCGAGTGCTGTTTGTGTCTGTACAGTAAATATGGAGAACCTCTGAGGTGACAGCAGCGTGCTGAATCTGCTTTGACAGAAGACAGATGGAGCTTGTTGAGGACAAAGTGTGTGCTGCTCATTCACTCCCCTCAGCGCTAATATCCAGACAGCTGCAGGCTGCTCTCTTTGAAGCTGCAGATCAAAACATGACCTCTAACCTGATAACCTCCAGCCCTCCTCTTTATTCCCACTCTGGTCTGCACAGACTCTCTCTCACATTTACATTCGGCGCTTCCCATTATCTGATGGCCCACAGCTGGTCATTTGTTGTGTGTCATTGTAGAAAAGAAGAAAAGGGACAATGTCTCTGATACATGAAGATGTAAAAAAACAAAAACAAAAGTAAATCAGCATTTTAAAAATAAAAACAAAATAGGTAACAGGCAAAAAAGGTATTTGTGTAGAATGAATAGGTCATGTTCTCCATGTTTAACCAATCACCATCAAGACCCATCTGGGTAATTTTCAGGGATGCTAGGAAGTACTTCCTCTGGCAGACCTCTAAATCATGAGAAAGGTGCCTTTAAAAGCGTGACAATGTTATTCACTTCACCAATCAGTGTTTTTAATATGCTGTGATTGGTTAAATGTACCTTAAGGTACATTCATTAGCTTTTTTATCACCACTTAAATGTCAAGTAATGCTTCCCACCTGTTGGTTTGACCACCCTGGATGGCCAGAAAAAACAACACTAGAAGAGTTTGGGTCACTGGGAGAAAATACGACATCAAATGAAACTTGAATGAAGTTGAATGAACATGAACATCAGTTTTCAGTTTTCATACCTGACCTCAGCTTCAATAAAACCTATTGTGGATCACAAATAACTGATAAAACTGCAAAAGCTATCATATCCAAAGAGTATGTTTGAGTTAGTAATGATGAGATGTAGAATGAGACATTTCATACATCCAACTTAAAAATAAACTATGCAGGCATCGATCATATGAAAAACTAACATACGGTATTTTATCTTAATATAATTTTTGTACACTGGTTTATTCCTATTTCCTATGATCATCTTTGAAAACTAGGGCCAATTAAAATTTAATATATTGTCTTACTACACAGATCAGCAGGATAAACAGCAGGACCCTTGGTTACATGGTGTAAATGGACGTCAACACTTTTGGGGAAGGATACTGAAGAGCTTTCTGTCCTTGGACTCAGATCTCATGCGGCTGAGCTGCTGTTTGTGGCAGCGAAGGCTCCAGGGATTGTGGCTGATCTTCTCTGACGTCAAACCGCTGTTCCAGTCCAGCATCTGAAAGGGAACATCTGAGAGGACCTTTGGGTCGAGTCTCGGGCTCTTCAGCTCTGCCAGACTGCAGAGAGGAGGAGAGGGGATCGTTAAAAGCACTGCAGGTGACCCTCTGCTCTGACTGCTGCATCTACTGTGGGTTTCAAGGGTATGTTATAAATGTGACCACTGGACTGTTTGATGCCAAATGACCCAATATAAATATAAACTACAAGTTCTCTTGTTATCTGCCTTCAGCTTCTCTCCTTTGTCGTCAAATTTATGACATAGATCAATAAAATATTTTCACACGAACCGTCCTACATCAAGTGAAATCAGTCCACGAGTTCATTGTCTCCTCGAGTATATCTTACTTATCCGAGGTCTCTGTGTCGTGCGCCTCCCTCCGATCGAGCCGCTCCTCCTTGTGTTCAGAGGTGGATGAGGAGCGATGCAGGCTGCGGCGGGAGTGTTTCCTCCTCGGCTGCTCCCTCTCTGGGGGGTCACGCTCCTCATGCTCGCCGGCTCCTCCCTCCATGTTGCTCTCCACATAGGGGTAGGCCACCAGGTTGATGTAACCGTCAGAGTCACCTTCAAAGCACACCAGCACCACACCTGAGAGGACGGAGCCAAACACAGAAAGGATGTTGGGAATTATTAAAAACATTTCAGAGCAGAAGAGAAAAAACAGACTACTGGAATACTCTGAAATGCCAAAGCAGAAACATTGCATTTTTAAAGGTCAGTATTTTTCGTACCAGCGACCCACAGAAGAGTCAGGCTGAGTCCAACACAGATCCAGTTTTATTATTTTGTATGTATTTTTGTTTTTATTTTTATTAATCTGTCAGAGGTATACCCTCTCCATGATGTCATAAAAACCCAGGAGTAGAAAACGTCCTCAGGAGCATTTAGAGCAGTCTAAAACCTGAACTTTTGGCTCACAGGGATTTATTGTACATACACTAATGTCAGTATTTGAAACATTGGTAAAGTTTAATGTCAATATCTATCTATCCATCTATCAAAAAAAAAACATATGCATCAAGATGTACAGAGTGCTTCTAAAATTTGATTAAACAACGATTTATGGATAAAATAAGCAGACAGTATGTTTTTGTATAACAGATGTACGTTTGAACATCTGTTATATTTAGCTTTATAAACAGACCAGAGCATGTCATCCCTGCCAAGCCAGACACTCAACATCATCCATCTTAGTCCTAATTTAATTTACCTGTCAGTTTGCTCATCAGTGGAGAAGCAAACCCCAAATATGAATTTCAAACTTCCCTCAACAGCACAGAGCGAGTTCTCCATCCTCAGAAAACTTCACCTCCTCCTTACCCGCATCATAAGAAGTAATTTGATTTGACGGTGCCAAGCTGCGGCGGATGAAACAACCTTGACAGATACAGAAAGTCGTGCCTGGGCAGCTGTCCGTCTGTCTGCTGTTATTTAATCAGCAGGACAATGGGTAGTGGGCAGACATCCAGAGATAAATTTAGACTCCTTATGGAGCACACTTGTCATGGCACTGGGAGCCAGAACACCAGCGGGGTGGACTACTGGGAGTACAAGCCTCCGATCAACTGCAGTACAGAACCCTTGGAATACGGCCATCGTATCTCTTGTAAAGGAGCCAAGTGTGGCAGAGACGTGGATAACCGCAACAAGAAAACTTTGCAGAAATCTGTGGCATGGTTGTCCTGCCACTCCGCCCACAGAGCCAATCAGCAGCAGATGAAGCAGGAATGTGTTCAGTCTATGATGGCCAGAGACAAACACCGTCAGAGCCATCATGAAATCACACACTGGTTTGGTAAATCTCATTTTCAAGCATTGAGATAAGCATTTTCACTGATGCCGTTTTAGTGTTTTCAAACCAGATGTGACAAGTGAGGGGCGAGTCTGAATGTGAAACCACATGCTCAGTGGCTAATGAGTAGTCAATCACAAGTCACAAGCCAACTGACCGGATTACGTTCACACCATAAACAAATGTCTATGAAGATTGTTTGACACTGGACAGTGACCACCTTCTCCAAAGGCCCGTTCTGGTCTGTACATGAGTCCGACTACCATGTTCACACCTGCACAAGCAGACCACATCAAGAGGGTGAACAAACCTGAGCTCAATTTAAACAGACTAAATGCCACAGGAGTGAAGAGTGGAACATTCTCTTTATAATGTTGGTGCCTTAGTGTTGGCCTGAGAGTAAGTATTTTCTAAGGCATTCAAATATTTGGTGTCTAAGAGAGTGTGAGTGCATGGCCTGCAGTCTAAAAAGTTTCTAAAAACTGCACGCAACTAGTGCCAAAAAACACAAAACACACACAAAAAAAAACAAAGGCTACAGATGCAACTTAATAGTTGCATCTGTTAAAACAAAAAAAGACAAATCACTGCAGTTTAAAAGAACACCTTTTCCAAAGCAGGAAATGCTTGGATGATGTCTCAATTAATAAGAGAATAGTATATAATCTGACTATGAGCTCAAACCTGCTAAGAGTCAGTAAGCAGTGCTCAACTGAGACGCTGCTGTTTAGTCTCGTCTGCCTTCCTTTTGGCAGACATTTTGATATCACAGAAATGAAACTAATGCGTCATAATGAAGCCTGCGTTTCATTTGCGCTTTAGTGGTCTTTGACATTTGCTTGGGTCTGTTACTACAGCAAAATCAAGTAGAAACAGTCAGACTCTATGCCGGGTGACGATGAGCAGAGCAGCTAAAGCTCTCCTCTTCCATTAAACATCCGTACTTCCTTCCTTCTTTCCTGTCAGTCTGCCTCTCCATTCACCACCAAACATTAGAAAATAAGGAATATAGAGCATGAGTGTTTGATGCTGAACCATTGAGGGTTTAGCTCCCTTAAAAGAGACCTCACTGCTGTGAAATCAATAAAATTCAACTGTCTTTTACTACTGGCTTATTCAGGCTAACAGGAGGTTCGGGAAATGTCACAAAGACATTAAAAGACCTTTTCAGACCTCTTTGATGAGTTTTAAGAGTGCACACAGTTTTGCAGGGTACTGACTGCTAATACAGGGACTTATTTTAGATTTCCCAACTACAAACAGCAGTGCCTTACCCAAAACCTTACAGCTAGTGGTGTAGTGGTGCGGGAACTTTCAACGAGATTTTGTGTTTCTGCACGCTTGTCTTTGAAACCTATAAACAATCTGCCATAGTTAATGTGACTTTACATTCACTCCATTTAATAATACAGTGCTTTCATTTTCTTTCACCACAGCAGCTTGTTAACTGATCTCATTAACTGATACCCCCATGCTGCTGTCATTGTTCGCTTCTCTCTCTATGTTCAGGTCCACTGTATTTTGGATCCTGTACAATTAGCATTCGGTGGGATGTGGCTACGCCTGCTTGCCTTTGGGATCGAATATCAAGCAGGTTTTCCATGATTCGTTTATAGATATGACACAAAAAAAACCAATGTATGTAGGCCAAAGTGCTGAAGAGCTAAAAACAATCCAATAACTTTCTAAGATGTTTTCAAGATTAGAGTTTTATTGGCCCACAAAAGATAGGCAAACTAATTTAAACTAAAGCTGTAAAATAAATGTAGTGGAGAACACTATAAGTCCCCCTTCTAAATTTGCTTTTGTGTTGTGCAGGTATCACTATAACAGAGTGAGAGCAAGAGAGACCAGTGTAACTGAACACAACTAGTTTAAGTTTTTTCTTTATAGCTTTGTTGCTGTGGATCAGAGCAGCTGGAAAAAGAGTTTTTATATTTATACTTGCTGATCAGGTTACTGGAGAGAGGCCTCTAACCAGCTTTTAATCCTTTAAGTTTTTAACTCTTTCTTCCATGACAACATCACTTTACCTTTAATGATGAGTTTTGACACATCAGTATATATCAATAAAGATGTGCCGACCATGGGAACAGTTTCTGGGTTTTTCCAAAGGTACAAAGGCACAGACTAACCTCACTAACGTTTGATGCACACCCAGTCATTTTGTTTTATAAGCAGGCCTGAAATATGACAAAAACCTCCCACTTCATAAAAGAGGTTCAAAGGTTACTCTTCATTACTGTCAAGAGGTAAAGAGATAATAACATTTACAGCAGCAAGCACTGTTATTGTTGCTCCGAGAAAAATGTTTTTTTTTTTGTTTTGTTTTTTTACCCCGGGTTGTGAGGTAGCAGCCTTGAATTTGCTGGGTGTGTCAGAGAAAAGAGGCTCCACCATTCCCATAAACTACAGGCTTTTCTCATTTCTGTAAATTGTTCCTCCTCATGTGCTCCAACCTACAGCCTACAACCAGAACACAATACACCATGATGACGGATGTCCTAATTCCTAAAAGCAGGGGAGGCCGGCTGGAGGAACAAAAAAAATTGAAAAGACACAGATGATCTGCCCTTCACTGTTTCTGTGTGAGGTTTATTATTGTGTTACATTGGAAATTGTTATGAATTTAATTAAATGTGGCCCTAAATATAAACATGTCACGCACACTGTCTGATATCATAAAGTCCTCGCCATCTCCGACAGGAGAGGACTAAGACCCAAAGAGAAACGCGATACGACAGCTGCTATGTTATCAACCAGTTATTTGCACATAAGCACTCTCTTGAGTCAGTTTGCTTAACAAAACTGATTGCTCGCTGAATAGGCAAACAGCCAGACAATTAATTTACTCATTTTATTTATTTAGTTTTTTAAACTGGCCATTGTTTATGTCAGTTATTGCCTGCATTTAAGCACATCCCATAATGGAGCTGTAGAAGTACATCTGACTATAAACCAACAGCTATCTCCCGACTGCTGCTCTGGTACCTGACATCAGTGAGCAGTCACCGACCTTTATACTCTGGAGTGAACTCTTTCATCTCAGGAGGCAGGGACTCGTAGAAGCGCTGCTCTCTGCTGATGAGAGGCTTACACACCGTGTGGTCATCATAACGCATCATACTGGTGTGACCGCCCACCTGAAAACACAAACACATGCAGAACACATACATAAAAAGAGCTAACAGGCAAAACAAAAAGCTAAATGTCTTAACAAAGAGACGATATTTACAACTGCTGCCTCTTTACAAGAATATTAAAAAAATATATATTATACCACAATTATACCAGTAAGTGCTTTAAATTTACATGTAGTATGAACAACCTCTTAATATTTTTGTTTCTGAATGTTCGGCAGTTTTCCTAATGCAAACATTCCTTTTTTAGATAAAGATTTTTCACCCACTGTTAGCACTCACCTGGTGTATAAAAGGCTCCAGTGGAACGCCTCCTGCTCGTGGTCGTAGTGAAGCCCCTCCCCCTGTGCCCGCCCCCTGCAGCTTGCTGTCCATGTTGTTGGTGTGAGGGAGGCACATGGCTCCTGGCGGACGCACCGCGCCTCCTCCTGTAGATAAGAGGGAGATTTAACCATGAGGAAACAGCCGAAAAGTCCTGAACTCCTGCTGTAGTTTCAATACTGATAAAGCGAATTAATTTATCTTTGGAGTAATAAAGTTCAATATTGCACTATATTGAATACTGAACTCCACATTTTAAAAAAACGTCATATTTTGCATATAAAAATGAGTTCCTTGTGATTTTTTCAGTACTGTCTCAGTAAAACCTAAAATGAAACTGCTTTGTGGAAAATCTGTACTTCATGTCCATCAGTTTGTACAAGTTTTTACATGTTCCATTAAGTCTACTGCTTTTGGTATACCGAGGAATTCCTGACTCAGAATTAGCCTTCAGAGGTGACTCCACATAACAGTAAATGCAACTGTGTTATTTGATAGAAGCTTTGTAATTGGTGACTTACAAAACAAACATCCTACATGATAAAACTCATGCAGTTTTCTTTGGCAGGGAAGATGTTTCACTACCAGTATTTTACACAAGTAATAGGGTAAAAATATACATCTGCATAGTTGCATTTAAAATTACAAAGTTACGTTTTAGAGTCATTCTTGTCAGCCAAAACCTTTCATAATTTTCTCACCTGGATGGGCCTTTTAATATCTGGCATCTGGCAAACTGGCCGTTTATGAGCTTATTAATTTTATTTTGTTGGGTGACCAGAACAACATCAACAAAAAAAACATTCTCTTATAGTGTGCATTGTTACAGCATGTCCTTTCACCCTCTGTGGGAAGCCTGTCTCCCCTCTTAGAAAGCTGACAGATCGAAAGTGAGGTAACATTAGTTAATTACATAACAAGCGCAAACCTCTAAAGAGCTGACTATGAACCATTAGTTTAACTCTGAACAACACACTTTAGCCTCAGCTGTCTCTGGGCTGTGAGTTTACACGTGAATATAGCCAAGACTTGAAGTGACAGGAAATTTCAGTCAGACAACCTCTTTGTTATAAAATCTGTGTGTTATCTGTCCATGAAGCCAGATAACACACACCAATTAGTTAAACTGAAGGAATGTCTTAAAGACATAAAGACCTGGATGGCAGCTAACTTTCTGCTTCTTAATTCAGATAAAACTGAGGTTATTGTACTCGGCCCTGAAAA